TCAGGAATTCTGGGAGTTGGAGTCCACGAGTCATAAAAGAGCCCAGGTGGCCTACCCCTGGGCTTGGGGTAGCTGATGGGGGAGAGAGAAGATTGCCCCACTCCTGGGTCACCTGTCCGCTTGGTTTTCAGTTTCGTATTTAATCCTCCTAATTTTAATGGTTTTATATTATTCTGTAAGCTGATCAGGGTCGCTGTAACAGTCGGAGGGGCAGCATATTAAACAAACAAACAGTTCTTAGGACCTCCTTCTGACCATTTTCTGCTTGTGAGTCCTGGGTGCTGAGCTTGGGTGTTTCCTTGCAGACGTTTCATGGCCCAACTAGGTAACATCATCAGTACCACAAGGGAGTGGGGTTTATGGAGTAGAGGGGAAGGGGAGGAGAGGAGGAGGAGGAGGAGGAGGCGGCCAATGACTGTGGGATCCTTGATGCTCTCTAACCTGGATTGTTTCCTTGCAGACGTTTCATGACCCAACTAGGTAACACCATCAATACTAGAAGGGAGTAGGGTTTACGGAGTAGAGGGGAAGAAGAGGAGGAGGAGAAGAAGATGGAGGAGGAGGAGGAGGACCCTGAGTTCCTTTGTGCTCTCTGAGCTTGAGTGTTTCCCTACAGACGTTTCATGACCCAACTAGGCAACATCATCAGTACTAGAAGGGAGTAGGGTTTACGGAGTAGAGGGGAAGGGAAAGAAGAGGAGCAGGAGGAGAAGAAGATGGAGGAGGAGAAGGGAAAGATGGAGGAGGAGGAGGAGGAGGAGGAGGACCGCGAGTTCCTTTGTGCTCTCTGAGCTTGAGTCTTTCCTTACAGACGTTTCATGACCCAACTAGGCAACACCATCAGTGCTAGACGGGAGAGGGGCTAACTCTCATTTTCTATACCAGTGGCTTACCCTGCCAGTGTTGGTGGAAGTGGTCAATTTCTGCTGGTCAATTTCCTGACGGCAGAAAAGGCAGCTCCCCGAGGCTCCTGCGTCGGCTACCCCTTTAATGCTTGCCCTTTGTTTCTACTTAGGAGTTCAAGCTGAGGCAGGTCTGACAGGCTGCCTTCAAGCCCTTTCCCAGCACTGCCCAGGCCTAGTTGGGGCCTTCTTCCCCCCCCCACCTCCCTTCTCCTCCCTTGCTAGACAGGGATCTCTTTAGCAGGTCAGTAATTACCCCTAGACCGTATCTCAAAGGTCACCCAGTCCCTCCCAATGCTATTTTTTCCCCCTTCACCATAACCCAAGTGAGGAGGGGACGGCGGTGCGACGACGGACTCACTGCAGCTTCAAGAGTGGCTCCAGTCCAAGAATGCGATGCATGATGAGGTTCAGAAACTCCTCGGGGTCTGAAAGAGCAGAGGGCACCCCAGGTCAGAGGCAGCACCGTATGACACACACCCCCACTTGCCCCCTCCCTCCACAGAGAACACACACAGCTGCAGCCACAAGCACAACTCCTTCTCTGGATCAACCCTCACCGCGCGGAATCTCCCTTAGGCTCAGCTGATGAGTAGGATTGTCAAGTGGCAATTTAATCGCAAAAGCAAGGATCACGGAAAGGCAGAATGACAAAGAGTCGTGAGGGACCGCGGAGGTCTTCTAGTCTAACCCTCCCTGCTCAGGCAGCGGATCTCACGCCCTTCCGGACCAATGGCTGTCCAATCTCTTCTTTAAAACCCCCCCCAGGGATGGAGCAGCCACCACTTCTGGAATTGCCATTCCACTGTTTAGTTGTTCTCACTGTCAGGAAAGTTCTAAGTTGGGTCACTCTTTGATCGGATTTTCCCTGCTGTTTCTTTTCCTGCCTTTTCTTCTCAAGGTTTTGTAAACATCTATGGATTAAAATGGGGGTGTAAACCCCACAAAGTAATGCATACTATAGGAAAGAGGTTATGGCCGCTGGGAATGGATGGGCTTTTCATCCATCCTCCCTCCCTTGTCAAAACTGAGAGTCCTCAGTTCCTGCCATGGCCAGCCTTTAATAATTTACCAGCAATTGACCAATCAGAATACAGAATAACAGAGTTGGAAGGGACCTTGGAGGTCTTCTAGTCCAACCCCCTGCTCACACAGGAGACCCTATGCCATTTCAGACAAGTGATTGTCTGGTCTCTTCTTAAAAGCCTCCAGTGTTGGAGCACCCACAATTTCTGGTGGCAAGCTGTTCCACTGGTTAATTGTTCTCACTGTCAGGACATTTCTCCTTTTTAAAATTTATTTTGCCCTTTCTCCAAGAAAGTGGCGCTCTCTTAACTTGGGCACAGTCCAGCCAGTTCTAGTTAGATAAAACACAGATCATCAAACCGCTGCTCAGCACGGGAATCTAGTTGATAATCTCTACCTCCTGTCCCATCGCTCCCGCGAAAATCAGCGACTCTTCGAATCCAGGTCCATTTTCATCCCCCCCAATTTTGAAATCAGAATCTCACAATACCAATCGAGAGAGAGAAAGAAAGAAAGAGAGAGAGAGAGAGAGAGAAAAGAAAGAAAGAGAGAAAGAAAAAGAAAGAAAAAGAAAGAAAGAGAAATAAAGAATGAAAGAGAAAGAAAGAAAGAAAGAAAAAGAAAGAAAAAGAGAGAAAGAAAGGAAGAGAAAGAAAGAAAAAGAAAGAAAGAGAAATGAAAGAGAAGGAAAGAGAAAGAGAGAGAAAGAAAGAGAAAGAGAGAGAAAAAAAGAAAGAACGAAAGAGAGAAAGAAAAAGATAGAAAAAGAAAGAAAAAGAGAGAAAGAGAGAAAGAAAAAGAAAGAGAAAGAAAGAAAAAGAAAGAAAAAGAGAGAGAGAAAGAGAGAAAGAAAGAAAAAGAAAGAGAAATGAAAGAGAAGGAAAGAAAGAAAGAAAGAAAGAAAGAAAGAAAGAAAGAAAGAAAGAGAAAGAAAGAAAAAGAAAGAGAAAGAGAAAGAGAGAGAGAGAGAGAAAGAAAGAAAGAAAGAAAGAAAAAGAAAGAGAAAGAAAGAAAAAGAAAAAAGAGAAATGAAAGAGAAGGAAAGAAAGAAAGAGAGAAGAGAAAGAAAGAGAAAGAAAGAGAAAAAGAAAGAACGAAAGAAAGAAAAAGAAAAAGAGAGAGAGAGAAAAGAGAGAGAGAAAGAAAAAGAAAGAGAAATAAAGAGAAAGAGAAAGAAAGAGAGAGAGAGAGAGAGAAAGAAAGAAAGAAAGGGAGAAAGAAAGAAAGAAAGAAAGAAAAAGAAGAAAGAAAGAAAGAAAGAAAGAAAGAAAGAAAGAAAGAAAGAAAGAAAGAAAGAAAAGAAAGAAAGAAAGAAAGAAGCACCTTTCTCCGAAGTAGCAAAACTGGAAGACTCTCCCTTTTCGGTCAGCTGATACCGAAGATCCATTACGCTTTTGGCCGCGACAAAGCCCTTCCTGTTTGCGACACAGGCAAAAAAGGGAAACCTCAAGACACAACCGGAAAACTAAATTCCTGAAACCCCCCCCCCCAATCTGCACACCGGACCCCCCCCCCCAAACCCCATTTCTTCGCACCGGGGGCCTTAACGACAAAACTGGGCTGAGTTTGTTCCGCCTTTGAAAGGTGAAGGGAAAGAAAAAAAGGTAGGTACGTCCTGGCTTCAGTTCCATGGGACCCCCGTGCGGACGGCTGGGCCAACGGACTCGTGTGTCTGTCCGAGGGCTGCAGAGTCCTGGGGTCACGGCAGCGATCCACTTAACAACTGCGGCAAGACAGGTTACAAAATGAGGCAAGGCTCCCTTCACAAGGGTCTCCCTTAGCGATGGAAATCTGGGGCTCAGCAGTGGTCCTAAGTGAAGGGCTACCTGGAATAGACTCACAGAGCTGGAAGGGGCCTTGGAGGTCCTCTAGTCCAGCCCCCTGCTCAAGCAGGAGACCCTTGCAGAAGAACAGAGCTGGAAGGGACCTTGGAGGTCATCTAGTCCAGCCCCCTGCTCAAGGAGACCCTTGCAGAAGAACAGAGCTGGAAGGGACCTTGGAGGTCCTCTAGTCCAGCCCCCTGCTCAAGCAGGAGACCCTTGCAGAATAACGAGAGCCGGAAGGAACCTTAGAGGTCATCTAGTCCAGCCCCCAGCTCAAGCAGAAGACCCTTGCAGAATAATAGAGTTGGAAGGGACCTTGGAGGTCTTCTAGTCCAGCCCCCTGCTCAAGCAGGAAGCCCTTACAGAATAACAGAGCTTAAAGGGACCTTGGAGGTCTTCTAGACCAACCCCCTGCTCAAGCAGGAGACCCTATACCATTTCAGACAAATGGCTGCCCAATCTCTTCTTAAAAACTCCCAGTGTTGGAGCATTCACAACTTCTGGAGGCAAGGAGTTCCACTGGTTAACTGTCCTCGCTGTCAGGAAGTTTCTCCTTAGTTCTAGGTTGCTTCTCTCCTTGATCAGTTTCCATCCATTGCTTCTTGTCCTGCCTTCAGGTGCTTTGGAGAAGAGCTTGACTCCCTCTTCTTTGTGGCAGCCCCTGAGATATTGGAAGACTGCTATCACGTCCCCCCTCGTCCTTCTCTTCTCCAGACTAGCCATTCCCCCTTCCTGTGCTTGACCCTCCACTCCCGGGTCCGTCCCTCAGAGGCTTTCCGAAGCAGCTGACGAGCAGAGCCGGAGAGCCACTTACTGCCTCAGAGGGTTAACGATCTTGTCCCGCAGGATCTCCTGGATGCGCCCATCGGCGGGGAGAGGGGGCTTATACAGCATGGAGTCCAAGACCGAGGTGCAGGAGAAGAGGCTGTGGCGAGAGAGGAGGTGCCGGTCACTCCACCGGGTTGGAGGAACCGAGAGATGTACGGGGAGACGAGGCGGAGAGAAGGGAAAGCAACGCTCTCCACAAGCAGGGTCCCCCCGAGGGTGAAAGGAAGCTGGGGAGGGCTGCCAACCTGAAGAGGGCGGCGTCCATGTAGCAGGAGTTACAGTGGCCTTGGATCCCTCTCATCCGCCCCTTGAGGACATTCACGGCCACGTCGTCCCTCAGCGGTGGGGAGTTGCTCAGAACAGACGGACTATCGGCCTCACCTGAAACAGAGCAGGAGTCTCTGTTCAAATCATCATAATCAGAGGAAGAAGAAGAAGAAGAAGAAGAAGGAGGAGGAGAAGAAGAAGAAGAAGGAGGAGGAGGAGGAGGAGGAGGAGGAGGAGGAGGAGAAGAAGAAGAAGAAGAAGAAGAAGAAGAAGAAGAAGAAGAAGAAGAAGAAGAAGAAGAAGAAGAAGAAGAAGAAGAAGAAGAAGAAGGGGTCTAGCGGTGTGCGGGCGGATGTTATCGTGAACCGACATCCCGTTGGAAGGGGTGCCGTAGAACATCCCGCCAAATGTGAAGATGCCGAAGGAGTACGGCTAGTGAAGTTCACGGAGTGTGGTTCGAGCATCAAGTCAGACGTCTGCTGTGAAAACGTTACGACAGGGATCCCCAAGCTTGGCAACTTGAAGACCTGTGGACTTCAACTCCCAGAATTCCCCAGCCAGCTAGCACTGATGACGTTCCCTAGTTGGGTAATGAAACGTCTGCAGGGAAACCACCAAGCTCAGAGAGCACCAGGGACCCCACAGTCGTCATCGTCCTCCTCCTCCTCCTCCTCCTCTCCTCCTCCTTTCCACAGGCCCTATTCCCTTCTAGCACTGATAATGTTACCTAGTTGGGTCATGAAACGTCTGCTAGAAAACAACCAAGCTCAGAGAGCACCCAGGACCCCAGAGTTCTCCTCCTCCCCCCCCTTCTCTCCTCCTCCTCCTCTCCTCTGCCTCCTCCTTTCCCCAAACCATACTAAGCAGAGAGCACAAGGGACCCCACAGTCGTCGTCGTCGTCCTCCTCCTCCTCTCCACAGACCCTATTTCCTTCTAGCACTGATGATGTCACCTAGTTGAGTCATGAAACGTCTGCAAGAAAACCACCAAGCTCAGAGAGCACCCAGGACCTCACAGTTCAACTCTGAGCTTCAAATATTCTGTCGCTCTGTCACTAATCTAGTCTGTTTTTAAAAATTTTCTGCATGCAAAAGATATCTTTTCTGCGGATGCACTAAGGCAGGAAGGTCCAACCTTGATGATTTTTAAGACCTGTGGATTTCAACACCCAGAATTCTCCAGTTCTGGGAGTTGAAGTCCACAGGTCTTACAGTTGCCAAGCTTGGGGATCCCTGCGTTAGGAAAGCTCAGGCGAGCCATCCATAACAAGCCTTTCAAACTGAGGCCCTTGTCATAACGTCTTAGAAGGCTTGAAATTCCTTAGTCGTCATCACTCGGCACCAAATCTGGGCTATGGGGAGGTGGTTGATCAAAAACCTCCCAACGGAACCGCTTCGAAAGTTCTTGGTTGCGTCTAGCGGTGTGCGGGCGAGCATTGTCGCGAACCGACGCCACACCGGAAGTCAGCAGGCCCCGACGCTTGTTATGGATGGGGAATTCTGGGAGTTGAAGTCCACAGGTCTTCAAAGTTGCCAGGGTGGGGACTCCTGCGTTACGAAAGCTCAGGTGAGCCATCCGTAACAAAGGTCGGGGGGCCTGCTGACTTCCAGTGTGGCGTCGGTTTGGTTGGGTCAATCACCAGGAGACGATGAGTTCTAGACCCGCCTTAGGCATGAAAGCCGATTGGGTGACTCTGGGTCAATCACTAGGAGACTGTGAGTTCTAGTCCCGCCTTAGGCATGAAAGCCGACTGGGTGACTTTGGGCCAATCACCAGGAGACGGTGAGTTCTAGTCCCGCCTTAGGCATGAAAGCTGATTGGGTGACTCTGGGTCAATCACCAGGAGATGGTGAGTTCTAGTCCCACTTTAGGCATGAAAGCTGACTTTGGGTCAATCACCTGGAGACGGTGAGTTCTAGTCCCGCCTTAGGCATGAAAGCTGATTGGGTGACTCTGGGTCAATCACCAGGAGATGGTGAGTTCTAGTCCCACTTTAGGCATGAAAGCTGACTTTGGGTCAATCACCTGGAGACGGTGAGTTCTAGTCCCGCCTTAAGCATGAAAGCTGAATGGGTAACTTTGGGTCAATCACCTGGAGACGGTGAGTTCTAGTCCCGCCTTAGGCATGAAAGCCGACTAGGTGACTCTGAGTCAATCACTAGGAGACGGTGAGTTCTAGTCCTGCCTTAGGCATGAAACCTGACTTTGTAACTTTGGGCCAATTACAAGGAGACGGTGAGCTCTAGTCCCGCCTTAGACGTGAAAGCCAGCTGGATGATTTTGGGCCAGTCACTCTCTCTCCCTCAACCTAACCCACCTCACAGGGTTCTTGCTGGGAGGGAAACAGGAGGCAGAAAGAATTGTAGGTCTGTTTGCTGAATTGAGTTACTTACAAATAAATCAAGAACCACATCCACCCATTTTTCTTGCGCCGACCAAGGGTTCAAACTGAGGCCCACTGAGGATTCTGCGCATCCAGCCGCTGCAAAGGGAAGGGACTTACTGAATTCAGAGGGCTCCTGAAACAGGCACTTGTTCCCCTGGAAGCGCGAATCTGGTTGGCACGACTCCAGCCGCACGAAAAGGGCCCGGCGGGGAGGACAGGTAAAGTAACGCACACCTTGCCACTCTCCGTTGGAAAAACTGTTATTCTCTTCATCCTGTCAGGGAGGATAACAGGTCTCAAGCAAGCCAATCCAACGGGACCGAGGGTGATCAGAAATAGCTCGTGGGTATTGACTGGAGGAAGGAAGATCACGATCAGGTCACGATTGGAATCAAGGATGAAATTCTGACTTTGGGAATCTGCTGATTAACGCATGTTTGTTGTTAGAAAAATGGCTGGAATATATCAAATACGCAAAAGTAAAAAAGTTGGGGCTACCGTTTTGTTGCTTTTATTCTACTGCACTGAAAAGAGTTGGAAGTTAATGTTCTTTTTTTTTTCCCTCTTTAAGCCCCTCTTCCCTATTACAGGGACTTATGAACACAACCAAGTCTAAACTTTCTGTTGCTAAGTGACACATTTGTTTGGTTTTTTCCCCCTTTTACGACTTTTCTTGCCACGGTTGTTAAGTAAATCACTGGAGTTGTTAAATTAATAACACGGTCGTTGCGTGAATCTGGCTTACCTCATTGGCTTCTCAAAAGGGGATCACATGACCCCAGGGCTCTGCAACCATCAGAAATAGGACTTAATTGCCAAATGGCCGGATTTTGATCACGTGACCCTGGGGAGGCTGCAACGATCGTATAAGTGTGAAAAATGGTCATTTATTTCAGTGCCGTTGTAAATTTGAATGGTCGCTAAATGAACTATTATAAGTTGAGAACTACCTGTGAAGAGGTCTTGGCAGTGGGCTCCGTGGGGTGTGTGTGTGTGTTCCCCTTTGTATAAGAATATTTACACACACACGATAGATAGATAGATAGATAGATAGATAGATAGATAGATAGATAGATAGATAGATAGACAGACAGACAGACAGACAGACAGACAGACAGACAGACAGACAGACAGACAGACAGACATGTAGGTAGGTAGACAGATAGACATAGGTAGGTAGGTAGCTAGGTAGGTAGAGAGATAGAGCGAAAGAAAGGTAGATTAGATAGGTAGGTAGATAGATGATATAGAGATTAGATAGATAGATAGATAGATAGATAGATAGATAGATAGATAGATAGATAGATAGATAGATAGATAGATAGATAGATAGATAGGCTAGCGATGATAGACAGACAGACAGACAGACAGACACGTAGGTAGGTAGACAGACAGACGTAGGTAGCTAGCTAGGTAGGTAGACAGACAGACAGAAAGACAGATGTAGGTAGGTAGGCAAGCAGACAGACAGAGAGACAGACACGTAAATAGGTAGGTAGGTAGACAGACAAACAGACATAGACAAGTACGTAGGAAGGTAGGTGGGGGAGAGAGAGAGACGGATAGATAGATAGATAGATAGATAGATAGATAGATAGATAGATAGATAGATAGATAGATAGATAGATAGATAGATAGACACAAGTAGGTAGGTAGGTGGGAGGGAGACAGACAGACAGACAGACAGACAGAGACAAGAACGTAGGTAGGTAAGTAGGTGAGGGGGAGAGAGAGAGAGAGAGAGAGAGAGAGAGAGACGGACAGACAGATACGTAGATAGATAGATAGATAGATAGATAGATAGATATAGACAGACAGACAGACAGACGTAGGTACCGACCGATAGACAGACAGACACACACGCACACACAGATACACACATGTAGGTAAGTAGGTTGGTAGGTAGGTAGGTAGGTAGGTAGGGAGAGAGAGAGAGAGAGAGAGAGAGAGAGAGAGAGAGACAGACAGACAGACAGACAGACAGACAGACAGACAGACATGGACTCAAGGCACCATAAATAATGCAAGCTCCCTCATGATCCCCTCATGGGCAAGAGGAAGCCAGAAGGCAACACCCCCAAAGATTAGTGCCAACATTTTTCCTCCGTGTCCTTTTGATCATCAGACTTCAAATGCCTGCTGGCTCCGGAAAGATCAGCGGAGAGAATCCACCGAGAGCAACGAATCCATTTCATCTTCAGGGCGTCTGGCACCGGTGGGCCCAGCTGCTGGGGATGAATGAAGTTTCTATTCTCCAGGCATCCACAGGCATAGCTTTGGGCTCTGGGTGCCCATCTCGCTTAAAACCCGAAGTCCACACATCAAAGAGAGAGCAAGGCTAGGAACACATTACACGGGATGGGGTGCTTACCAACTCAATCCCAGCCATCCTTTGCTGGGCATTAGGCAGGCAGCCGATCCAACGGATGGTCCCCGTCATAGCACGTCCCTTGTCTAAGTTGATCTGGACCACGGAGTTGACATCCAGAGAGCCGGTCCCGTCTTCCGGATGCTCTGTACTTTCGCTCCTCTTGTGCTCGAGATATTCCTGGAGCCCAGAATCCTGGTCTATATCAAACAGAGAAAAGCGATGCCTGTGTGTCTATTTCTGGGGAATCCTTTTAATTCCGATTTGATGACGCTTCGCTTTCCTCCTTGCTAAAAGCCCAGACAGGAACAGGTGTGACCTCCTGCTTGGAGAGCTTTGACTATTTAGTGCAGTGTTTCTCAACCTTGACAATTTTAAGGCATGTGGACTTCAACTCCCAGAATTCCACAGCCAGCATTGCTGGCTGTGGAATTCTGGGAGTTGAAGTCCACATGCCTTAAAATTGTCAAGGTTGAGAAACACTGATTTAGTGTGTAGTGGGGTGCCCCAGGGCTCTGTTCTGGGCCCAGGGCTCTTCAACATCTCCATCAACGAATTGGACGAGGGGATAGATGGGGAACTCATCAAATTTGCAGACGACACCAAGCTGGCAGGAATAGCCAACACTCCAGAAGACAGGCTTAGGATACAGGAGGATCTGGACAGACTTGAACACTGGGCGCTATCTAACAAAATGAAATTCAAGGGTGAAAAAAGCAAGGTTCTACATTTAGGCAAGAAAAACCAAATGCACAGGTATAGTATAGGGGGTACCTTGCTCAATAGTAGTAACTGTGAGAGGGATCTCGGAGTCCTGATGGACAATCACTTAAATAGGAGCCAGCCGTGTGCTGCAGCTGCCAAAAAGGCCAACACAGTGCTGGGCTGCATTAACAGAGGAAGAGAATCAAGATCACGTGAAGTATTAATACCACTTTACAATGCCTTAGTAAGGCCACACTTGGAATACTGCATCCAGTTTTGGTCACCGCGATGTAAAAAAGATGCTGAGACTCTAGAAAGAGTGCAGAGAAGAGCAACAGAGATGATCAGGGGACTGGAGGCTAAAACATACAAGGAACGGTTGCTGGAATTGGTTATGTCTAGTTTAATGAAGAGAAGGACGAGGGGGGACAGGATAGCAGTATTCCAATATCTCAGGGGCTGCCCCAAAGAAGAGGGAGTCAAGCTATTCTCCAAAGCGCCTGAAGGCAGGACAAGAAGCAACGGATGGAAACTGATCAAGGAGAGAAGCAACCTGGAACTAAGGAGAAACTTCCTGACAGTTAGAACAATTAACCAGTGGAACAACCTGCCTGCAGAAGTTGTGGATGCTCCAACACTGGAAGTTTCTTAAGAAGAGACTGGACAGCCATTTGTCCGAAATGGTGTAGGGTTTCCTGCCTGAGCAGGGGGTTGGACTAGATGACCTCCAAGGTCCCTTCCAACTTTATCATCATCATCATCATCATTATTATTATTAGATCTTTGACTATTTGCAACAGTCTCACTTTCAGATGAACTGTTCTCTATGCTTGGTCAAGCACCTCCTTTTCTGCTAGTTAAAAAAAGATTATCAAGTTTTCGCCCAAGAGGCATGAACTGGACCAGGACAGACCTGGTTCATTCTTGGGATGGGAAAGTGTAAAAAAAAATAAATCTCAGGACTGGGAAAGAAACAAGAACTTCTCAAGGAAGGCCATCACAAACCACTTTGGTACTATTACGAAGATCCATGATTCAACCGGGAGTGTTTCTAATAATCTGAGTGATTCTTCCCACACTCCAAAAACAGGACAAATAAAACTCCAGGCTACCCAGAACATCAGTTTACCTAAGGAGAGCAGCTCCTCCTTCACCACTGAATCCAGAGGGATCTCTCGGAAAACATCGGCTGAGCCCTCTTCCTCCTAAAAAAAAAAAGAGAGCGAAAGAGAGAGAGAAAAGGGAAAGTTTAACTGGATTTTGAGACCTTGGCAGGAGGGATGGTTGTGAATGGAGTAAATTTTCTCCTTTATTAATAATAATAAAAATAATAATAACAACAATAATAAAGTTGGAAGGGATCTTGGAGGTCATCTAGTCCAACCCCCTGTTCAGGCAGGAAACCCTATACCATTTCGGACAAATGGCCGTCCAGTCTCTTCTTAAAAACCTCCAGTGTTGGAGCATTCACCACTTCTGGAGGCAGGTTGTTCCACTGGTTAATTGTTCTAACTGTCAGGAAGTTTCTCCTTAGTTCTAGGTTGCTTCTCTCCTTGCTTAGTTTCCACCCGTTGCTTCTTGTCCTGCCTTCAGGCGCTTTGGAGAATAGCTTGACTCCCTCTTCTTTGGGGCAGCCCCTGAGATACTGGAACGCTGCTATCTTGTCCCCCCTCGTCCTTCTCTTCATTAGACTAGACATCCCCAATTCCAGCAACCATTCCTTGTATGTTTTAGCCTCCAGTCCCCTAATCATCTTTGTTGCTCTTCTCTGCACTTTTTCCAGAGTCTCAACATCTTTTTTACATCGTGGTGACCAAAACTGGATGCAGTATTCCAAGTGTGGCCTTACCAAGGCATTGTAAAGTGGTATTAATACTTCATGTATTAATGCTTCTTCCCACGTATAACAGCTGCAGATATTACACAAAAGCATTGTTCACCTGCCCAGAGGCCTCTGAACCATGAGATGGGAGGCAAATAAATTTGATAAATACCGGTAATTCATTTCGGTCTCGCAAAGGTGCTTTCGATGTCCCATAGGGTTTTTTTTCCCCAAAAGGCAATTGGATTTTCTTGGGTTTGGTGTTTTGTTTTGTTGTTGTTTTTTTGTCTTCTCAAAATTGAAGAAGCTTTTTGAATGAAAAGCAAAATGCTTTCAAAGAAAAATAAACAAGAACGGCCACCGTTGCCTTATGGGGGAAAAAGGTACTTTTGGGACAATCATGACCCGGATGATTGAGAATATCCACAGACAATTTATTTCAATGAATTTACGCTAGAAAAGATGAGGGCAATGGGTCACCTTCCTTACGCCACTGGATTCTAAACCTTGAGAGCCCAACGTGGTCAACGGCAAGATGAAATGTGAGTTTCAGACTAAGTGTTGCCCAAATCTAGAAGATTGTTTTCAAAATGTCAGTTTTCAGGTAGGCATTTTTCTGTGCAGTATATTATGTAGTAAAGTAGAATAGAATAGAGCTGGAAGGGACCTTGGAGGTCTTCTAGTCCAGCCCCTGCTCAAGCAGGAGGACCTATACCATTTCAAACAAGTAACTGTTTAGCTTCTTAAAAATCTCCAGTGATGAAGCGCCCACAATCTCTGGAGGGAAGCTGTTCCACTGGTTAATTGTCCTCACAGTCAGGAAGCTTCTCCTTAATTCCAGGTTGCTTCTCTCTATGGTCAGTTTCCAACCATTGTTTCTTGTCCTGCCCTCTGGTCCTTTGGAGAATAATTTGACCCCCTCCTCTTCTTTGTGGCAGCCCCTCAAATACTGGAATACTGTTACCATGTCACCCCTATTTCTTCTTTTCTTCCTATATTTATGAGAAATGAAGTCCTCTTTACACTAAAGGGAGTTTGGATGACACCTGCCTCTCTATTTTATTCGTAGATAATTTAAAATATCTCTGTAAATTTAAAATAACATTAGTTGGAGAAAAAATGATTTCCTTTCGGAAAAATGCAAGTACATCTGGACTACTAACAGCCAAGGCAAATTGACAGTAGATAAGAATCAACAGAATTCAAGGCGGGCTGGATGTAGATCTCTCGTGGGCATGAAGAGATTCTAAACTGATGGGCCCTCCCTCCCTCCGGCCTGGCCTGGTCATCTCCTACAATAATAGGATTGATAGGGACCTTGGAGGTCTTCCAGTCCAACCCCTTGCTCAAGCAGGAGACCCTATGCCATTTCAGACAGGTGGCTGTCCAGTCTCTTCTTCAAAACCTCCAGTGATGGAGCACCCAGAACTTCTGAAGGGAGTCGTTCCGCTGATTAATTGTCCTCGCTGTCAGGAAGTTTCTCCTTAATTCCAGATTTGCTTCTCTCCTTGATTAGTTTCCATTGTTTCTTGTCCTGCCTTCTGGTGCTTTGGAGAATAGCTGACACCCCGCTTCTTTGTGACAGCCCTTCAAATATTGGAACGCTGCTATCGTGTCACCCCCAGTCCCTGTTTTCTCTAGACTAGCCATACCCAAATCCTGCAACTCTTGTTCTTTGACCTTCTCCTCTTTTTGTATATGCCTTCTATGGTATGGAACAACAAAGATGATTAGGGGACTGGAGGCTAAAGCATATAAGGAACGGTTGCTGGAATTGGGTGTGTCTAGTTTAATGAAGAGAAGGACGAGGGGGGACATGATAGCAGTGTTCCAATCTCTCAGGGGCTGCCACAAAGAAGAGGGAGTCAATCTCTTCTCCAAAGCACCTGAAGGCAGGACAAGAAGCAACGGATGGAAACTGATCAAGGAGAGAAGCAACCTGGAACTAAGGAGAAACTTCCTGACAGTGAGAACAATTAACCAGTGGAACAACCTGCCTCCAGAAGCGGTGAATGCTCCAACACTGGAAGTTTTTAAGAAGAGACTGGACAGCCATTTGTCTGAAATGGTATAGGGTTTCCTGCCTGAGCAGGGGGTTGGACTAGATGACCTCCAAGGTCCCTTCCAACTTTATTATTGTATTATATAGAATCCCAAGACGTTCTCTCCAGGGGAGCAAACCTCTTTATCTGCTGTCTTTGTATGTGGTTTAAGATTGGTTCCATGCCGCTTCTTTCTCTTACGAGCTCATTCCAGATTTTATCTTTTCTGATCACTCCGGCGCCTTGCCTCAAAGATCTCATTACCGTGGCGACTAGCTTTCATTTATGTTTTATTGTAAGCATCCATGTTTGGCACTATGTCCCCATATGTCCCCTGCAGAGACACTGGACTCCCGCAAGCTGATTCGCTTCCAATTTCCTTCTACCTTCCTCAAAGCAAGCAATGCAAGCTTTTGCAAAACTTTATTCCCTTTCCTGTCAAAGAAGCAAAGCAAACGAACGGATTTAAGGGTGTGGCGGTTTTCTGAAAGAGAATACCGTCTCATATTTTTCTCCCTCAAAATAAGAAAAGCCATTATTCCTTGTAACTCTGCCCAGCGCTATCTGGTTATCCAAGGAAGTTACAAAATGCGTGGACGGAAAGAATCGTATGGACCCCAACCTCTTAATGTGCCTCCAACCCAATGCGTTTCTTGTGGACTTCAACTCCCAGAATTCCTCAGCCGGCCTTATCGCTTCCTTCTTAGCTTTTTCATGGTCTCCTTTGAACGGTGGTGAAAACAAGGTTTATCTCTATGGGTCTGTTGAGGGCTGACTTGTCTGAATGCCAGACTCCTGGGAATACCCTAGGACAGTGATGGCGAACCTTTTAGAGACTGAGTGCCCAAACTGCAACCCAAAACCTACTTATTTATCACTGGGTGCCAGGTGGGCATGGCCCACTCGGTGGGCATGGCTGTGGTGGTCATGGCAGATTGGGTGAGAGTGGCCAAGGTGGGCGTGATCACCTCAATGTTGCTTGTGGGGAGGGATGCCTGTGAGGGCCGGGCAGGGTTGGGGGAGATCCAGGGGGTCTCTATCAGGTGGGGCGGTGGGCAGGAGGCTTGTCCTGTGGGGTGAGGCGAGGCAGGGCGGGGGTGCCATTGTCACAGGGCAAGGTGTGGCAGGGGCGGCAGCTGCCTGACACCACTGACCTCTGCACACAGAGGCCAGCGAGCGCATGGGTGCTGGGATGCATCTGGCCATGTGGGACCTCGGCGAGTTAGTGGGCGGCTGGTTGAAGAGGGACGGTTGCCATCTCCAGGGCATGGCCTGTGTGCCCACAGAGAGGGCTCTGAGTGCCGCCTTTGGCACGCGTGCCATAGGTTCGCTACCACTGCCCTAGGAAAAACCAAGGAGAAAACCACATCTCACCATACCCCCCTCCCCGGCGAGACCAGCAGGTGGGCTGCTGTATTTAAATGCGAAGCAAACCCCACATCAAGGACTCCGTAACCAAGATTGGTTATTTGTCTGAAATGATATAGGATTTGTCTGAAATGATATAGGGTTTCGTGCCTGAGCAAGGGGTTGGACTAGATGACCTCCAAGGTCCCTTCCAACTTTATTATTACTATTACTATTACTATTACTATTATTATTGTTATTAAGATGAGCTTGAAATCGAAGGAGCCACCTCAAACGCTGAGATACATCATTTTTACAAGTGGGGAACCAAAAGCTTCTTATTCAGACTGGATTAATTGCTGACCGTTTTCTGTGTAGTCCTTGGTGCTCTCTGAGCTTGTCTGTGCTTGCCGACGTCGTCCCAAAGCTGCTTTTTCCAAATGGCAACTGGACTTTGTTTTTTTTCTCTTCTTCTTCTTTGAAAACATTTTCGCTTCTCCTCCAAGAACTGAAGAACTGAAGAAGCTTCTTGGATGAGAAGCGAAACGTTTTCGAAAAGAAAGTCCAGTTGCCTTTAGAAAAGCACCTTTGGGGGGGCGACAGAAACAAGCGAATGAAACCGACAGATAAATTCCAGGCGTTAATTTTCTCTTCTAGACCTTCTTACCGGACATACTTTCGCCAGCCACTCATTTCCTTTCTGATACACCTCCAGGACGATCCCTCGCGTGAAGGCGTCGTCTAAATAAAAGCCGACGGTGTCGCCCATTTTCACCGGCACGATTCCATCAGCCTTCTGCCTCTTCGCCTCCACCTGGTTGTCCTCTGACCCCGGCAGAAACTGCAGTTTGTTGAATGGCAGGAAAAGGCCGCACTTGGGTTTACACTTGAAGTATTCTGCCCCGTGGTAGGTGCCAGCACAGTAGCCTCGGCCTTCGCCGCCATCCTGGAGAAGTAGCAGACAGGTGTCAGGATTGAGGGGCCTCCGCAGCATAGCTTGAGGACAGGGGTGCCCAACCTTGGCAAAGCTTTAAGATTTGTGGACTTCGACTCCCAGAATTCCCCAGCCTATCCCCAGGGCATCTGCTTAGGTCAGGGGAAGGCAACCTTGGCTCTTTTATGACTTGTGGACTTCAACTTCCAGAATTCCTGAGCCAGCCACGCTGAGGGGAAAGGGAGAGGTTTCCAAGCTGAGCCATGCTGGCTCAGGGATTCTGGGAGTTGAAGTCCACCAGTCATCAAGGGGGCTATGGCTCCCCCATGCTGGCTCAGGAATTCTGGGAATTGAAGTCCACAAGTCATAAAAGAGCCAAGGTTGCCTACCCCTTTCCTAAGTCCTCCTGCTCTAAGTGGTGAGCCTCTTAGAGCAGGGGTAGGCCACCTTGGCTCTTTTATGACTCGTGGACTTCAACTCCCAGAATTCCTGAGCCAGCATGGCTCAGCTTGGAAACCTCTCCCTTTCTCCTCAGCATGGCTGGCTCAGGAATTCTGGGAGTTGAAGTCCAAAGTCTTAAAGTTCCTATGGTTGGACACCCATAATATAGACCAGGGGTAGGCCACCTTGGCTCTTTTATGACTCGTGGACTTCAATTCCCAGAATTCCTGAGCCAGCCACGCTGAGGGGAAAGGGAGAAGTTTCCAAGCTTAGCCATGGCTGGCTCAGGAATTCTGGGAGTTGAAGTCCACGAGTCATAAAAGAGCCAAGGTGGCCTACCCCTGGCTTAGGTTAAAGCAAGTCAAAACTCTTTCCCCAGGGAGATAATCTCCCTTAGATTTGGGGTGGAGGTTGAATTTTTCTGGGCGCACTGCAGTAATTCGGTATGTCTCAACCATGGCAACTCTTAAGACAGGTGGACTTCAACTCCCCCAGCCATCATCCAACAGGTGGACTTCAGCTCCCAGAATTCCCCAGCAGCAACGGTGACTATTAGCCCAGAAACCCTTCAGAGGAGTCAGCAGAATCCTGATACAGGTAGCCCTTGACTTACAACAGGCCATTTAGTGACCGTTCAAAGTTACGGCGGCACTGAAAAATGTAACTTATAGCCATTTTTCACGCAACCGATGCAGCCTCCCCACGGTCGTGTGACCAAAATGGGACGCTTGGCAACTGGTTCATATTTACGACGGTTGCGAGGTCCTAGGGTCACATGATCCCCTTTTTGCGACCTTCTGACAAGCAGAGTCCATGGGGGAAGCCAGATTCACTTAACAACTTAACAATTGCAATGATTCGCTTAACAACGGTGGCAAGAAAAGTCGTAAAATGGGGTAAAAAATTACGTAACAGACGTTTCCCTTAGCAACAAAAAATGTAGGGGCTCAAATCCGATCTAGATTCATACCATAAACATTCAACAGAATAAAACTCACTAATATCACTAATATTTGTTTGTTTAATGGTTGTATTTAAGAACTACCCATCTCCCTTACGGAGGAACTCTGGACAGTATGGAATAAAAACTTTAAAAGCATCAGAAGACAGGCTTAAGATACAGGAGGACATGGACAGACTTGAACACTGGGCGCTATCTAACAAAATGAAATTCAATGGTGAAAAAAGTAAGGTTCTACATTTAGGCAAGAAAAACCAAATGTGCAGGTATACTATAGGGTGTACCTTGCTCAATAGTAGTAACTGTGAGAGGGATCTCGGAGTCCTAGTGGACAATCACTTAAATAGGAGCCAGCAGTGTGCTGCAGCTGCCACAAAAGCCAACACAGTGCTAGGCTGCATTAACAGAGGGATGGAATCAAGATCACGTGAAGTGTTAATACCACTTTACAAGGCCTTGGTAAGGCCACACTTGGAATACTGCATCCAGCTTTGGTCACCACAATGGAAAAAAGATGCTGAGACTCTAGAAAGAGTACAAAGAGCAACAAAGATGATTAGGGGACTGGAGGCTAAAGCATATAAGGAACAGTTGCTGGAATTGGGTATGTCCAGTTTAACGAAGAGAAGGACGAGGGGGGACATGGTAGCAGTCTTCCAGTATCTCAGGGGCTGCCCCAAAGAAGAGGGAGTCAAGCTCTTCTCCAAAGCGCCTGAAGGAAGCACAAGAAGCAACGGATGGAAACTGATCAAGGAGAGAAGCAACCTAGAACTAAGGAGAAACTTCCTGACAGTTAGAACAATTAACCAGTGGAACAACCTGCCTCCAGAAGCGGTGAATGCTCCAACACTGGAAGTTTTTAAGAAGAGACTGGACAGCCATTTGTCCGAAATGGTGTATGGCTTCCTGTCTGAGCAGGGGGTTGGACTCAATGACCTCCAAGGTCCCTTCCAACTTTATTATTATTATTATTATTATTATTATTATTATTATTATTATTATTATTAACAGTATGTAAAATTTAAAACCGGCAATGAATGTTAAAATTGATTAAAAGCTAGGGGGCTGGGGGCTTCTCTGGACATCCCGTGCAAGGGGGCGCCGCAATGCTAGGTGAGTAGGGGGCTCGTGTCAACCCAAGGGTGTGTGTGTGTTCCACATGCTGGGGGGAACGGCAGAGAAAACTCTCTTCCTGGATCCCGCCAGTTGGAATTCTTTGGCTGCTGGAGTCCACAGCATACAAGTAATTCATGACGTACGACCATAATTGAGCCTAACATTTCTGTTGCTAAGCAAGGCCGTTGATAAGTGAGTTTTGCCCCATTTTACAAACTTTTTTCTTTTTGCCCAAGCTGTTAAGCGAACCGTGCAGTTGTTAAGCAAATTGACCTTGCTTGTCGGAAGCCCCCAGGAAGTTACAAAGGGTGACCACGTGACCTTGTGATGGTGCAACTGTCACGCATACATGCCGGTTAACCAAATGCCTGAATTTTGATCCTGTGACCATGGGTTAAGTGTGAACACTTGCTGATAACTCACTTTTTTTCAGTGCCACGTAATCTTTGAGCATATCAGTTTAGATCAGGGGTAGTCAACCTTGGCTTTTTTATGACTCGTAGACTTCAACTCCCAGAATTCCTGAGCCAGCACAGCTGGCTCAGGAATTCTGGGAGTTGAAGTCCACGAGTCATAAAAGAGTCAAGGTTGACTACCCCTGGTTTAGATAATGAAAGGTCTGCAAGAAAACAGCCAAGCCCAGAGGGCACAAAGGACTCCTCATTTCAGCCCTGAGCTACAAATATTCTCCTTTATTGATATAACTTTGAATGGCGGATGATCGTAAGTCAAGGGCTACTTGTATTTTAAATTTTCATACTTCCAAAACAGAAAATTTCTATTCGTGCTTAAGTTAAAAACTCGCCATGTAACATGTGATCAAGGAGAGAAGCAATCTAGAACTAAGGAGAAACTTCCTGACAGTTAGAACAATTAACCAGTGGAACAACCTGCCTCCAGAAGCGGTGAATGCTCCAACACTGGAGGTTTTTAAGAAGAGACGGGACAGCCATTTGTCTGAAATGGCATAAGGTTTCCTGTCTGAGCAGGGGGTTGGACTCGATGACCTCTAAGGTCCCTTCCAACAGTATTATTATTATTATTATTATTATTATTATTATTATTATTATTACTATTATTATTAACCCGGTGATGAAGAGACAGGTCCGCATACAACAGGTTAAGTTGACTACAGAGAGTCCTCAACTTACGACCACAATCTGAGCCCCTTCCCCCCAAATTTTCTGTTACCGAGACATTTGTTAAGTGACTTTTCTCGCCACAATTGTGAAGTGAATCGCTGCAATTGATAAGTCAGTAACCTGGATGTTAAGCGAATCTGGCTTCCACATTGACTTGGTTTGTCAGAAGGTCGCAAAAAGGGAAGGTGTGATCCTGGGACACTGCAGTGGTCATAAGTATGGACCAGCTGCCCAGCATCTGAGTTTGGATCACACGATCCGGGGGATGCTGCGAAGGTCGTAACTGTGAAAAACGGCCGTTAAGTCACATTTTTTTCATTGCCATTGTAACTTCGAACGGTCACTAAATGAAACGTAAGTCGAGGACTACCTGTACTTTGTCACCTCCTGGCAGAAAAATAATCATCCATTGTTACCTGCAATTCCACTCCAAAGTAAATTGGGTGGAGCCCTGATGGTAAAGGGCTGTGGTGAAGTCTTCCAATATAGCGGACGGTAGCGGGGGAAAACTGATCTCCCAGATCGACCAAGACCTGCTGGCCTTCTTCGGCCATCATGGCAGCCTCTAGAGCTTGCCTGTCTAGAAAACAGTTCAAACGTTCCTGAGCGTTGCTAATGGCCAAAAGGAAGTCGGCCATCTTCTCGTTCACCGGCTGCAGGCTTTCCACGTCCAAAGTAGCCACGGAGCCATCCTGCTCCATGACAAACCTCCACAAGCGAGTGGACGTCCTGCTAATGTGCTGCAGGTACGTCTGCTCTTTCAGGTAACACATGCTGCCTGCCTGGAAAACCTTGCTGCCGTAATGGTGGTTTTCGGTGAAGATGTAGTACATGTTCCTGTCCAACTGCGGAGGCTGGTAAGAACTGCGTGTGACTGTGGCGTCCATCTTACGACTTCTTCGGCCCTAAATTAAATAAAAGGCACGATCAGCCTCTGACCCAATTCATTTTCTCAGATATAAAAATAGCCCCGTACAAACATACACCGAAACTGAAACTGAGCTAGAGAAGATTAAGCCAGCCAGCGGGGGTACTCCTGATCTCCAAGGATCATTTATTTATTTAGAGCAAGGACCATGAAAATTGTTTGAAGGCCGTCCGAAGCACGTTCACAGAACAATGGCTCCAAAGGAATCTTGTCGGGCGTGTTTTGATGACATTGCAAAGATAGCAGCAATAGCACTTAGACATATACTGCTTCACAGTGCTTTACAGTCCTCTCTCTAAGCAGTTTAGAGGCAGCCTGTTGCCCCCTAACAATCTGGGTCCTCATTTTACCAACCTCGGAAGGATGGAAGGCTGAGTCAACCTTGAACTTCATCAAAATTGAACTCCTGTGCATCACCACTTCCTTCTCATTTCCTTCCTTCCTTCCTTCCTTCCTTCCTTCCTTCCTTCCTTCCTTCCTTTCTTCCTTCCTTCCTTCCTTCCTTCCTTCCATCCATCCATCCATCCATCCATCCATCCATCCATCCTTCCTAAGCAATAGCACTCAGACTTATATACCGCTCCACAGTGCTTTACAGCCCTCTCTAAGCGGTTTACAGAGTCAGCCTATTTGCCCCCAACAATCTGGGTCCTCATTTTACCGACCTCGGAAGGACGGAAGGCTGAGTCAACCTTGAGCCGGTCAGGATTGAACTGCTGGCAGTGGGCAGAATTAGCCTGCAATGCTGCATTCTAACCACGGTGCGACCAGGGCTCATACGTTCCCCAAAGTTGACAAGTCAACTACATTTGCGACACAATATATTTATACTTGGAACAACAACAGGAGTAGTACACTGGCATTTTGTACAGCAGAGACGTCCACATCCCAGGGATTGTGGCAACAAGCAGACTACAACACATATAGGACCTGGATACCTCCGAGACCGCCTTCTGCCACAGATTCCCTCCCACAGACCGGTACGCTCCCACAGAGCGGGCCTCCTCAGGGTGCCGTCGGCCAAGCAATGTCGGCTGGCGACCCCCAGGGGGAGGGCCTTCTCTGTGGGTGCCCCCACCCTCTGGAACGAACTACCCCCCCGAGATTCGGATGATTCCGGATCTCTTAACCTTCCGCCGCGCCCTCAAGACATGGCTTTTTCAGCAAGCGGGACTGACCTAGGGTGAATTTTTAAATAGGGACAATTTTTAATGATTTTAAACAAGACACAGCTACAAATATTTGGTTTTTAATTGGCTTTTATAGGGAAATGTTTTGTATTGTTTTTAATATGCTGTGAGCCGCCCTGAGTCCCATGGGGGAGAAGGGCGGCATATAAGTCTTATTATAAATAAATAAATAAATAAATATGTAATCCTGCCCTTTTGTGTTCTGATCAGTGTACACTTGAGGACCTCATGGCCAGTGCAACAGAATTCAATTAATTCTGGGCAAGATCTGTTTAATTTGTGCATATTTTAATCTTGTACAGACTCAGCTACAGGGCACCGTGAAAGGCCAGGTTAGGGGACAAACGAACAGGCTGAAAAATCAACTTATTGTGATTGGTCAGGCCAACATTTGAGGCGTATAATCAATCAATAGATGACATAGAGTTGTAAGCACAGGTAGTCCTCAACTTACGACCACCATTGGGCCCAAAATTTATGTCACTGAGAAATTTGTGAAGTGAGCTCTGCCCCATTTTACGACCTTTCTGGCCACGGTTCTTAAGTGAAGCCCTGCAGTGGTTATGTCAGTCACACGGTCGTTAAGTGAGTCTGGTTCCCCCCCCCTTGACTTTGCTGGTCAGAAGGTCACAAAAGGGGATCGCGGGACACGCTGCGACCGTCATAAATACGAATCAGTTGCTGCGCCGCTGAATTTTGATCACGTGACCCTGGGGATGCGGCTGCGACCGTCATAAATACGAGTCAGTTTGCCGGGCGGTCTGAATTTCGATCATGGGACCCTGGAGATGCGGCTACGGTCGAAAAGTGTGAAAAACGGTCACAAGTCCCTTTTTTCCCCAGGGCCGTTGCAACTCGGGACGGTCGCTAAACGAGCCGTCGTAAGTCGAGGACCGCCTGTATTCAAGAGGCCACGTCTGAAGGGCAACCAGCAGCTACGAGGAGGAGGCCTTTTCACGGTTGGAAGACCCGAAAGGCCAGGTGAGCGCCCGGCCACGACGGAGAAAATCTACCTCTGAGGCGGCCGGGAGTCAAAGGCCGCCTGAAGGCAGGGAGGAAGAAGCAGGAGAGGGGGAAGGAGCGAGGCCCCCGCGACGGCTCCCTCGGCCGCCCCGGGCCTTCCCCGAAGCCTCTCGTCGCCCGGCCTCGGCCTTCTTCCAGCGGCGGGAAGGAGCCGGCGGGGCGGCGGCAGCTCCGGAGCCGGCCCGACGGCGGGACTGGGGCTCCTCGGCTCCTCTCGGCGGGAGAGACGGAGCGAGAGGCCGGCCTGGCTCGCCTCCGCCGTGGCTCGTCACTCGCCCGGTCCGAAAGCGGAGAAGAAGGAGCCGCCCCGGCCGCTTCTGAGGTAAACTCTGAGGAAACGGGGTTCCCCTCAGTCGGCCAGGCGACGGGCGTGACGTCGACCCACGGACGGCCAATCGGCGGCCGCGACGACAAATCAGGGCGCCGCCGCCAAGCGGCTCGTCCAATCAGTGGAAGGAAGGGGGGAGAAGGAGGGGCACGGAGAGTTCTCTTTTCCCGCCCTTTCCTCTTGATGGACGCCATGGCTCGCCCAATCAACGACGGGATAGAAGGGAGGGGGGAGAAGAGCGCACGGACAGTTCTCTTTTCCCTCCCCTTCCCTTTGATGGACGCCAAGGCTCGCCCAATCAACGACGGGAGGGAAGGGAGGGGGTGAGAAGGGCGCACGGAGACTTCTCTGTTCCCGCCCTTTCCTCTTGATGGACGTCAAGGCTCACCCAATCAACGACGGGATGGAAAGGAGGGGGGAGAAGGGGGGCACACACGGAGAGTTCGGTTTCCCCTCCCTTTTCCCTTGATGGACGCCAAGGCTTGGCCAATCGGAAGCGCCATCCGAGGAGGGGCGGGGCGGAGCGGGGGGAAACCCCATCACGTGGCTCCAGCCGGGGATTTCCCGCACCTCGGGAGGGAGGGAGAAGGGAGGGGGAGACCCTCCCTAGCGTCATTGAGGGCGGGGCGGGGTCGCCCTCTGCGCCCGCACCACTCACCGGCGGCTGACTCCAAAACCCATTATCCGCAGCCGCGGTGGCGGAGGCTGATGGGCCTTGTAGTCCGAGGGTTCTGGAGTCTGGCGAAGGGATCCCTTACAGCCCCATGAATGAAGGGGGGGCACCCCAGGATCTCCCCCCCCCTCCGGCATGGATCACAAGACTCCTCCCTCCTCCTTTGGCAGAAGCCAGGCAGAAGTTCAACCGGAAGGCTGGGAGCTCGTCGGAATGTAACATGACACGTGTCTAGTTTGAGCACCGACCTGAACCGCGATTGCTTCTGTCGGAGGAGGTTGTGTTTTTTTTTCCCCTTCTCAGCGTATCCCACGATCCTGGGATTTCCTGGTGGTCTCCGTTCCGAAAGGCTGATCAAATCCTCGCTGGGGCTCGCCTGGAGGTGCCCTTTCCTCTGGGGTCTCTACTCTGGGTCCCGTCAGGGTCTTCGGGATCACCACGTGTCCCTCTGGATTTCTGGGGGTGGGGCAAAAAAACCTCCCCAAGCATCGCCTTCTTTCGGGACCCTTTGGAGCATCTTCAACGTAGCTGCCCGCCCGGAGGTTTCCTGGTGGTCTCCCATCCAGGGACTACCCAGCCCTGCTTGGTAAACTGTGGCAGGCACCCTGAACCTGCCGGGCTCCGGGGGCCCTTTCAGAGGCAGCTCCAGAAGATCCTTCTGCCGGATCTTCCAGGATGACAAGATGCTCAAATAAAGAGGCAGAGTTGGCCAATAGCCTGGTCTTGCTTGCCAGAAATTCTGTAGGCCAGGGGTTCCCCCGCCCCCCCAAGCTGCAGACCGGTACCAGTACGTGGCCTGTTAGGAACCGGGCCACATAGCTGGAGGTGAGCCGTGGGCAAGAAAAACTGCATGCACGGGATCTAGGTTGCGTGCTTCTCCTCCTCCTTTCCCTCACACCCTCCCTGTCCATGGAAAAATTCTCTTCCACAAAACTGATTCCTGGGCCCCAAAAGGTTGGGGGCCCCTGCCACCCACAGCAGCGGAAGCGGGATGATGCTGACTGCATTGGTCCAGGAAGCCAGGATGGCAGGGGGGACCAGGCGAAGAGACTTTTGTGCCTCTGGAACATCATGCCCCCCCCAAGGTGAAATCCGCCCCCACCCTCTCGGCCCTTCAGAGGGGATTTAAGCCCCCTGGCCGTTTGGCGTTCCGAGGGACACTCCTGGGGCCCCAGGCATCTCCCCCCCCAGGATTTCNTGCAACCGAAAACCGAAGATGCTCCGTTTTAGGTTCTCCATGCCCCCCCATCACCCAACTGTCCCACGCTCCCCCTTACCCGGGTCCTTAGGAGCGACCCGCTGGATTCAGAGGATTCTTTTTCCTCGTCATGTACATGTCTACTTCCGAACTAGACTGTGTTGCTTCTCTGTGTTATATATTTGTATGTGTGTGATTATATGCATAATCTTTTGTCATGCTTCTGTATTGTATATTGGAGGTGGTGACCCTTTGAGAGCTGCATGCAACGAAATGTCATTTTAATGCATGCCGATTAGTGTGCATTGAAAGTGACAATAAAGTTTATTCTATTCTATTCTATTCATCATCAAATTCTATTCATCTATTTCTATTCTATTCATCATCTTATCTATTTCTATTCTAATTCTATTCTATTTCATTCCATATTTTCTATTCTATTTTATTCCATTCCATATTTTCTGTTCTATTCTATTCTATTCATCTATTTCTATTCTACTCATCTTTCTATTCTATTCATTATTTCTATTCTATTCCATTCCATACA